GGGAACACCCTAAGAGTTAGCGCAGCGGAGAAAAGTTAAAAGTGGTTAAACTCACATGGATGGTTACAGTGTAAAAGATGCAGCAAAGGATGAAAATGTTACACGCCTTTCAATTTGAATTTAAACAACACTTCTCATTTAGCTTGGATCAAAGACAAGCATTAATTCGCTACTCTGGTTTTCAAGAAAATACTACCCTTTAGCTTAAGAGTTTAAATTGCTTTTGAGATAGTTAATAGTAGAACATGGCAGTGATTTCACGCCTTCAGAGGAAACTTCTTCTCCCAAAAGATGTTCTCTCACATACAACTTTTGCAAAAGCTGGAGCAATGGAGACAACAGCCAATTCAGATAAATTAATGGCTATTTACATAACACTTTCGTATAAATTACATGGCATAATATTTCACATCAGAAATAGGTTAAAATTGATCATTAGTTTTTAGGTGGGATACAAAAAAAAACCAAACACCTATGTTCAACCAGTGAGTCCTTTCAAAAAAGACAAAAGGGAAAAATTCCTACAAATATAAATTATCTTGATAGGGAATGATGTAGATCTTCTCTTTGGTAATCTCTGTATTTTCAGGTGCCTGGTCTTAGGGAGTTTTGGCTGACGTATCTTTCAAAAGCCAGAGAATTTTATGACAGTAACAAATGTTCTGTCAAAGGACATAAGATTTTATACAAATTCATAGGAAGGAATTCTGGTCTTGGGAAAGGGAGAAAGGAATGTGACTGCACTACAAATACCTGATGTTTGACTTGGTTGTCTGAAGCAAATCCCACAGTTGCAACAACACAGAAGTCTACTGGGAACTAGTACTGACACAGGTGTGTACGTATGTACAAAGTCCATTCTTCTGCAGAAGCAGCCCACAAAATCCAATAGCAACAGCTAGAAGGAAAACTGGGCCAGCTACTAATGCAAGTTGCCCAAACAAATTCTGCTATCGAAAAAGTGCAACTGTTTTGGGAACATCTGAAAGAAGCAAGCTCCTGATGTGTTATAACAAACCAAAACCTCAAATCACCTGAGTGACCTTTCACATAAAAACCCAGTAATCCTAGTAACCCCTGCTGTTATGCTTGAAGAATTAGCCTTGCACTCAGCTACCCTCTCCTCTACCTAAAAGATTTCATGACTCTGCTTAACCTCATTTGATGGTTTTGGTTTTGTTTGTTTTTTTCCAAATATACACAGAATTCTTCACTATATTTTTGTTAACCTGGTGGATTTTGGTCACCAGAAATAAAAATGAACTGTGGCTTTGTACACTGAGCACAGTGCAGTGTATTAAGTATCTTTAATACTACCAAATAGGTGTGAACTGAAAGTGTGGTTCCATGTACTTTTGCATGAAAGTAAAAGAAAACAATTTAGTTTTAACCTGGATCATTTCACTGATGTGATTTACAATGCAACCTTACAAACACTTGCATATATCTAATTAAAAGGGATAAAGGACATGCAAATTATCACCACGGGGAGGGACCTTAGCATTCACTTCACTTGAAAAAGAAGGTATACCAATATACAATGACAGAATATCTAGATTTTTGTGGCCCAAATCTTTTCCAATCTTCTAAGAGAGTCAGGGAAACAAAACAAGTCTTCAAGTCTCACCAGATCCTAGTGCACCCTCACATACTTTAAGATTTTAAGTCATATGAGCATTATCTCTTTGCCTCCACGGGGTATACCATGTTTCAAAAGAGGACTTACTTGGCATGTCAGGAAAATGAGAATATGTGTTGCGATGAAATCAAGGCAGGTGTTTGCCACACCATTGATAAGGTTCAATGAAATTATTCCTGTATCTCTCCCTTCCTCAATGATGGAAGAATAATCAATTAAAATTCACAAGACAATTAACCACAGCTCAGTAAAGCTGACATGCATTTCTGTCTGTCACATTTGTATTTTTGCAATTAGGTGTAGTGGAAAGTGACATAAAATGTCACATTTTGCTAAAATCCAGTGACATTCTCACAGCCACAAAGGATAAGAAATAGGGGCACTATGTCACACAGCTGTTTAAGTTAATAAGAACAAGGCTTCTAAATGACACAAGATGAGTCACTCAGTCACTGGCAGCTGTCACAGTACCCTACTGCTGCTTCCCTGACATTCCCCTCACTGCCTTCATGCCCCTTTCAAAGGGCAAATTCTTCCATCATGCTATAGGACAGAAGAAAAGATGTGCCCAGTGAACAGGCCTTGAAGATGCCAAGACAGGATTCAGTAAAGAACTGGTCCCTTGCAAGCCATAGGGCTTTGGTTATATGGGAGCCTGCTGCAGGAGAGAGATGCCATGATTTCTCTTTATTTACATGTGTGCGGAAAACAAGGAACCAGACTCACTTGCAGTGCTGAAACGCAGAAGTAACTCTTCTTAAGGTAGGAGAATGGCAGCTGGATTAAAATGTCTCTTCTGTTCTCCTCACATATTAGCTCTCAGCTAACACATCGCTCAAGCATCTTGTTAAAAAAAGGCCACGGGAACCTTTTGCAGCATGTTTAAAAAAACTTATTGAGCAGCAAAATATTAATTCTTATCAGAAAATTCAACCTGTTGAATGCAGCGAAACAGATGTGCTGATCAATACCAGACAGAAGCCTGTAACTTCAGGGTTTTTTCTAATAATCTTTTTCCAGATAGGTAGAGAAATCCGATCATCTAAGCATTAGACCTCCCTACATATAGTTCATTACATGACAGATATATTTTATTAATTTGTACTCCTAGAATACAGATCCATGGAATTAAATAGCCAGAAAAAGGTAAAACTTCTAGTGACTAGTTAGCATCTGATGTAAAAAATCTTAATAGGATGATCAATTTTGTGAAGGCAGAGCTACAGGGCAAAATTGCCAGAGAATAGCTATCCAGACAGCTCTGAAACTGCCTTTATAACCAGACAAATAGGTAAGGCACACCAGATGCTGACATACATGAAAGAAAACAGAAAAGAAATAAAACAGTTCCTGAAGTCTGCAAAGAGCTATAAGCCACTGAGTCTAAGATTCATAACATACAAATCAGTAAAATCTAGAATAGAGAGAGAATTAAGGAACATATACATATAAGTGGGATATATGAGGAGAGTTCTGCTACAAATTATAATTATGCCTCGAGCACCTGGAATTCTTTGCAAGAATCAGCAGATCCACAGGTAGCAGAAGTCGGATTGATACCATATGATTTCCAAAATGCAGTAACGAACAGTCTCCCTCACCAAGACTACTGAAGAAATTCAGGGTACATCCTCGCATGCTGAGCAGCCATTGATGGGAGGAATCCTCAGCTAGGAGAATCCCAGAGGGACCTGTGCGAAGGCTTGTAACATTTATTGTCACAGGATCAAGAACATTACACTAACGGGAAAGGAGGCTTAAAAAATGAGCTAAAAATTGTCCCTGGTTATTCATAATAGAGGAACTAGCAGATTCAATTCATAATGGGTGGGCAGAATTATGCACAAGGGAAAAAAAAAAAAACAGAGACAAATGCATCTCTCCCAAGGCTATGAAATATATAAAACACCAGCTTTGACTAACCACCCTCCCTTCCCTTCTCCTAACTTGGGAGATCAAGATCAAGCCTGATCTTGAAAAACTGAACTGATCAAAATCTTTTCAACTGCACCTTGGCTTAGTTGATGAAAGATCTTGGTTTTTAAAGGTTTAATTTATTCTCTGGAAATCTGCAGCCACTGTATGAACAATACTGAAAGTAAAAGAAATTCTGTTTTCTTTTTTAAAACGCTGTTTCCATGGGTCTGTGAAAAGTGCAACCTGGACCAGTCTAAAAATATTCGATGCAGCTGCGCCATTTAAAAAGTTTCATTTAAGAATGCAATATAAACAAGTTATATAGGTTTCAGGAAGGAAAAAAGAGAAGACACAATACTGGCAACCTCACTGTCATGAATGTTGCACTTTGGTTGAATAACATATTCGATAGGCTTCTGAAAAAAAAAGTGTTTTCAGCTTTAAGTCCTCTGAAAAGGAATTTTTCATTTTCTTTTTGGCCCCAGGAATCTGGTAACTAGTTTTTACATTACTAGTATTCATATACTTAAGCAAAGCATTTACATGTATCCCAACACGAAAACAAAACATAAGACGTTTTAAGCAAGTTCAAAGAGCCCTAATCTTTGAATAAAAATTGCTCTTCTACTTTATGTAATCAATCGTTTGCTTTCATGTGATTTTTTTCACATCCTATTCCTCTCCAAGTTTTCCAAGGACTGTCCTCAACCAAGCGAAACGACTAGGGTACCACGCGAGATACCGTCATGACTGCTCTGCGTGTCGTTCGCTGACAGTCCTGAAGAGGGTAGAGTTGCACAACGCACCGCTACTGCTCCCCTGAAACACCATACTTCTGGGACACGTTCAACTTTGAAACCAAAAGATGTATTAATCTTTCTTTCTCCGTTCCCCTTCGCCACACTATCAAAAGTTTAGGGCAGGAAAAGAGCATGCAGTGTTCTGAAGTGTTCTCACCTACTTAGTCTCCCAAAGAAGTTATTTAAATACTTTTATGTGCAATTCACCACTATGTTAACAACCACAGATAAAATAACTTAATTACAGTTTCAGTCAGGTCAATATCTATCAAGAATTTTATAATTGCATTACATACGGAAATTTCACAGCAAAAGGCATGTGTGATCCCTAAATGAAAGATGTTATTCCACTGATCAGCCAGAGCAGCACTCGTGCTGTGAGCCACTCCCACTAACCGGACCGACATTTCAAGCAAATGCAGTCTAAATTACCAGCACACATGCAGGAATCAGTGATGATTAATGAAGGCTAACAGGAAAAGAAAACCCACTAAGCTGAAACTGCATTTTCAAATACAGCATATTAGACAGTAGTGCATCTATTATAATCCAAGGAACAAACTCTCCGAAATTAACACACACTATTTGGAAACAGATGAAAGTATTTCTTAGGTGTCTTTTTACGAAACAGCATTCTAACTTACCCGAATTCATTTTTATGCATTTCAGCTATTTTCCTCTCGAGCTTTTGTGACTGCTTGGGGAAAATTTTGAAGTCGCTGATATAATTCTCTGGGTGTTCATCAGAATCATAATCACCAAGCTCAGCTAAACAGATCCAAAATACAAAAAAAAGCAGAAAAAATCAATTGCAACATTAGTTAATAAGGAAAAAAGTCAGTAAATACAATGTAAGTCAAGATCGGTAAGAATCCAGCATGTCTCAAGAAATGCTATTTTGAAGAATCGATAGTTAACTGAAACAACAAAATCCTTGTAACTGCCAATTCAATCAATGAGTTTCAAGTCAAGTTCATGGTTTATTAACTGCAGCAGTAATTAGCAATCCTAAACTATTTTCTGTGGCAGAAAGTTGCTCTGTAAAACAGGTATAGGTAACAGTCCCACTTTGAGTACCTGGCATTCTGGCACCAGGCAGAACTAAAATAATGCACTCCAGATTCTCCTCTTTTTTTAACCGATTTATCCTCGCTGATACGGGCTGGTTTAATTCTGTTCCAGCACAGAAACACAGGCTGTAGCATTATTTAAGGGGGCCCACAGTCTTTGATTTCTCTTCTAAAAGATGCGTCACTGGGGTACCCAAACATGGCATTTGGTGTTTTAATTTTCTAAATAAGCCTCTTTTAGTAAGGTCTAGATTGAGGCTTGGGTTGGATACACTGCCTTATAATGCATTAAGAGCATATTCATGTTAAGGCAGAATGAAGGGGACCTCCACACATATGAAGTCCCTAATCAAGACATCTAGCTAACTGCTCCTCTGTATGCAGTCTAAGACATATATCTGAATTTGGCCCTAAGGAAAGGACGGGGAGGGGGGGAATAAAACAAAAAGGAGGGTGAAAAAAAGATCCTTCTCCTTGAATTACGTCCACTATTTTTGCCAGAGATTCCATCATCACACAGGTCTTCTTTAACATAAAGGTGGGCACTGAATGACACTTTTTCCTGCTCAGTTCAAACAGAATAGGCTACATTTACGTTCAGGATTCAGAAGATAATTTTGCTTTGTTTATAACCGGAATCTAACATTGATGCCATACTTTTTCACTTAAATGCTAAGACAGCCTGTTGTTTTTAAACTTTTTTTTATGTTCCAGTTTGATGTTAGTCAGCTAAATGGGTGAATTACTTAAAATGCTTTACAGTGCATGTCAATGCAGGGAAACAGTACAACCGAAAAAGCCCCCAAATGTTATTGCTAGCTCTATTCCCACAACAGTTTGAGTTTCTCTTTATACTGAACATACCTATGAGTTAAGTATCTAGAAAAGCCTGCTGCTTGTACTTACCTTGGACAATACAAGCACCCAGGTAGGCAGCATCAGAAAAAGAACACAACAAACGGCCATGGAAGATGTCCCTTTTTAGTTGTAGATATAAAAGGTATCTGAAATGTAATTAAGAATTAGGAAATGCTGTAGCACCTTATTTATAATGGATTTAACTTATTAGTGTGGAACCAGTTAGGCAACCCTTCTGGATATCTCTCTTGCTACCTTAAATGGCAGGAAAATGAGGCAAAGTGCAATCACAGGAAAAACTAGATGCAAGACAAGAGGTTTTTCTCAATAACAATGAAATAATGACAGCAGAAGTGACAAAAAAACCCCACTAAGAGATAGCACGGAGAGTACTTAAAATGTACAGCTGTTACAATGCTTATTAGTAACATGAAATAAATTACGGTAGTGTACGTTTGCTTGAGCACACACCCTCTCCTTAAATACAGGTTTGCACAAGGAAATCTCTCCACCGCTGTAGACGAAATAGCACATTGACCACAGTGGAGAGAGGGGATTGCTTTCCTTTTCTTTTTCTAACCCGTGAATACTCCCAGGCGAAGTTTTGAGGCAGAAGCAACTCC